TGGGGGGGGGGTCCCAGGTCTCACACAATTGATCACTAGTGAATTAAGATTTTCACATACACATGTTTTTTCTTACCCCATCTTTCCATTAAGCACTTGCCAATCAACCTGTGACACCCTGCCCCAAACCCATGTGCCTGCGTACAAACACATACATGCATGCACCGATTAATGGAAATAATCAGACAAGAAGTGATGAGGCCCAGGTAAAGCAAACTGTGGGGAGCTTTAAAAACCCTATGAAAGCCCTAGCCACTTTTGCTCAGTGGATAGAGCATCGGCCTGAGGACTGAAGGGTCCTGGGTTCGATTCCGGTGAAGGGCACATGCCTAGGTTGCTGGCTCAATCCCCAGTAGGGGGTGTGCAGGAGGCAGCCAATCAATGATTCTCTCTCATCACTGATGTTTCTTTCTCTTTCTCCCTCTCCCTTCCTCTCTGAAATCAATATAAATATATATATTTTTAAAAAAACACAAAAAACCCCTATGATGTTAAATTATCAGTCAGGAATTCAGTAGCTCAACTGGAATAAATTATGAACACACTGTATTTTAAGTTTCAAATATCTAGTACAGTTACTCTAAATTAGATCCAAGAGATGCAATTTGAATTACACCATGGAAAAACACACCTTTATAAAATGAAAAAGATACAGCTTTCTGTTGCAACACAACTATTTACTAAAAACAAAAAATGCTTTCCTGCCAACTATATAATTTGAGTACAAAAACAAGTCTTGAGCAAATCAACTGAAAATTTGATGACAAAAATAATTTTCTCAGAAATATACTTATTTATTGGGTGAGTAGAAACCAGAAAAGAACAAAAAAACCTTATTTTCAACATGAAAATAAATTTATTATAAACAGTCAGGTGCTCAAGAAACATTTTCAACTTTAGAATCAATTCCTCCACATAAAAAAATTCCCCTCCAAAATACATACTCAGATTTTTGTTATTGTTGTTAATCCTCACCTGAGGATATTTTTCCACTGTTTTTTTTAGAGAGAGTGGAAGGGAGGGGGAGAGACAAGAGAGAGAGAAACCCCTCATGTAGCTGGGATAGAGCCTGCAATCTGGTATATGAGAAAACACAGATCTATTCAGTAAGATTACTACAAAATTTATTAGAGTTTAAAAATAAAAGATATGTATGTGTTTCCCTTTTCTGGTTATAGCAACCGTAGTCATTGTAAAAAAGTAGAATTTACAGAAAGAAACGTAATAAAAATGGTCCATAACCTGCCTAGCAATCAAGTACATCTTCATGTATTTTTCACTAACCTTTATTCTATTCTTTTAACTTCTTAAATTTGGCACCCTAGTTTAATATCCCTTAGTTCCTCCACCTTATGCATGGGATAGTCTCTAAAGACTTTTAATTTGCATCACATATGGTTGCACCATTACTGAACAGCTACCATTAAAAACTGCCCTGTAAGTTACAACTTGAACAGCCATAATTTAACAAAAGATTCCCTGC